GAGTGAGTTTATTATTTCAAAGTAGATCGGTTAGTTAATTTTAGCGGTAAGTAAATTAGTAATTTAAATAAGTAAGTTGATGAGTGTTTACAATTCGAGTAATGATAAAGATTTTAGCAATGGGTAGAGTTCAGATTTTGTAGTGTAAATTCATGAATTAGCAGAGATTTTAACAGTGGATGATTGTTTAGCAATGCAGAGACAGGTGGTGATTTTAATAGTGGGTGAAGAATATACAAGATGTGACAACTTGATCACGCCGACCAATCGGGTATTAGATTTTGGGTACGTACATAATTTCTTTCTCGAATAAGCCATACACTTTGTGATATTCATCACTCCGTTCCTGGTATTAAAGATTTTGCCATAGTAATAATGCAGATCTATTTCTGATTATATACTATATATTACTATATGTACTGTACGTATTGTACGTACTGTACGTACTGTACGCGAAAAAAATCAGGCTATCATATAAACGGCACATTACTAATTACACCTGATAATCTCGAACTAATTTCTTTAAGAGCATTATTACAAAGTGCCAGGCATCTGCATAAAGTGCCTGGCATTTTTTTGCCTTGGGCATTATTACAAAGTGCCAGGCATCGGCATAAAGTGCCTGGTATTTTTTTGCCTTGGCATTATTACAAAGTGCCAGGCATCGGCATAAAGTGCCTGGCATTTTTTTGCCTTGGCATTATTATAAAGTGCCAGGCATTGGTATAAAGTGCCTGGCATTTTTTTGTCTTGGGCATTATATGCCTGGCATAGAAATGCCACTTATTTTATTAGGCACTATATGGCACAACAATGCCAATTGCCATTTAGGCATAGGCATAAAATGCCTGGCTTTGGAATATTTATGCTGGAACTTTAATGCCAATGCCTATAAGTGTGCTGGGTATTTTATACCTATAGGCATAGTCATGGCATAAGGCACTAGTGCCTGGCATAGTGCCAAGATGCCTGGCATGGGCATTTGCAGAATCTTATTATATGTCTATAATAGATTATAATTGATATTATTACAAATTAATGTATAGCCCTCCTGTTGATTATTATCAATTATTTGCCATCGATATATATTGATTTTTCTGATTATAATCATTACTTATTTCTTTAAAAATTTTCCTGATGTATTAGCTTAGGACTTTAAGATAAGCTTATACTATATAAAAAGTTTTTTGTCTTTAAATAAAATTGCTGAAGCCTTCTATACTTACAATCTGACTAATTCAGATTTTAATAACTTATGCTATGTTTAAGAACAAGTACTTGTATTCTTTTATCTCCACTATCATTATCTACTTCTGCACTTGTAAAATTCACTTAAACCCTAATATCTTCTTTTTAAGACTATACAGTACTTAATATCTATTCATCAAAATACTATTCTAGCTTATTTCTCTGTCAAAATACTATTCTAGCTTATTTCTCTGGACTACCAATTTAGATAATTCAGAAGAAATATTAGTTCATGATATCTACTGTCATGGTCAAAATGTGATCTCAAGCCTCTGGAAAAAAATAACGTGAAGACTATGCAAAGAACCATTACACTATGATGCCCGGGACTCGATTTACTAACAACGATCGCATGCAAGCCAAACCTGCTCCAAACCAGGCCCTCTGAATTAAAGCATTAATGAAGATCTTATGAAAGCCAAGCTCCCATCAACGATCTCATTGAAGAAAAAGACACTTACCTGATTCGGTATGACATCTGTCAAAGTAATATTACCTTGTCGGGTAAGGTGTGGCCGTGAAGAAGAAAAAGCATATGAATAGATGGAAGAGTCAATGAATGAATTAATGGAATTGACAGGTAAAGAATGAATGACGGCGTAGAAGCCTTCATTTGACTTGCCTTCTTTTTCCATTCCGTCGAACATTTCAATAAGAATGGCTGTGTGTAAGAAGTAAGAAATTTGATTAGAATGGGTTGTTGGGCTAAAGCTCAATGACAGTATAATGAAAAAGGGGTGGAAATTAAATGAGAATCTTTGATTTTGTTCTTCTCTTAATTTGTAAAAATTGTTATAAATAAGATAGTCAAATCTCTCTTGAAAAAGACATTGGGCAATACCAGACCTTAACTGAATACAAGCTCTCCTACATAATAAATAAAAGAGTTCTTTGTGTTAATAAAACCTTGACGTTCTTTAAGTTACCAAGTTACCCTGAATTATAAACTACTCAACCATTGCCTTAGACCAAGCCAAGTCATCTCTAAACCATTGAGTAGAGCCTTGATACTGCTTCTGTTTTGTGGTGTGTGGGTGTCCAATTAGCCTATGACAATTTGGTGGTGACTGTGAGATCTGACAAAATTGGCCGCTCCCATTGCTAAGACTGTGAAATCAGAACGGTAATGATGCTGACTATCCCTTCCTGATACAAAATTTATTTTTTATTTTATTTTCTTTTTGTTGTTTGTTTGTTGAGTTCGAGAACCAATGTACCGAGTCTGAATTGTTTTGAATATTTTTTTTTTATTTATTCTTTTCATGGACCAACAGACTGTGTCCACTTGTGTGTACCTTGTGAGTTTTTTTTTTTTGTTTGTGAAATTGTGTTGTCTCTTTGAGAAGTTTTACTTTAGGACCAACGTACAGAGTCCACTCAAACCATTGTTGCCCCCTTGCCGTCATATTATGATTCATCACCTTCAACCTAAAAACAGAAACCCTGAGATCTTCTAGAGAACTGGTGAAATGGTTAAAACGCATAATCGAAAAAAAAATAATAATAAATAATAAATAAAAAAAAAAAAAAAAACTATATATATATATATAGACTCTAAAAGGGTTATCTTAATAAACCTTAAAAAAGGAAGCAATCCCACCTCTTCTAGCCAACAATCAGATCTTTTATGGAAACTTGGCAACCTACGTATACTGCACCCCGCCCTATAAACAAGCAATAAAAAGGTGCTATGGACCAGCAAAATGTTTGTCCAGACAATAATGATGACCCTCTCCCTAACCAAGAAAATAATGAAGCCCAATCCGTCTACGATGAGGACCAACGATCGGAATATAGTGATAGAAGTAGGACCCCCGTCGACGATTACCTCATATATCTTGAAAGAAACCATGGTAGAAATAATCTGAACGTGTATCAAAACTAGGACGCCCTTCAAACAGTTTTAAGCGAAATAGCCAACACTTTTAGAGATACCACCGCTGGAATTGCTTCGCCGCCAGAGCCTCCGCCAGAGAAACTAACTTGGTTCGTGTCGAATTGTTCTACGGAACAGAAGAGGAAGACCTTCTCAAGTGGGTTGAAATGTTCGACTATGCGGCTGATGCTAACAATTGGTCGCCCAAAAAGAAGGTTAGGATAGCCTCTGTGTACTTACGAGGCGTTGCCACCAATTGGTATGATAGTATTAGGAATCTGCTAGAATTTTGGGACAATGAAATAGAACCGGAAGCCAGTTTCGTCTCCCATTTTACGCAGTATTTTGCTACCCCCGAACGTTATCATAAGTGGCAAGTGGACTTGAATTCTCTCGTACAATTAGAAAGTGAGTGCATTGATTCGTATGCATTCAAGTTTAAGAAACTTTGGCGAAGAGTGATACAGAGTATCGGTTGCCCAAGCTTACATCATATACATGTTTTTAGGAGGACTAAAATCGAAAATTGCCTCCTGGTTGAGTGTCGCTAAACCCGCCACGTTAGAAGAAGCCATACTTGGTACACAAAAATTGAGGCTGAAGAATATTACAATGCGAGGAATGGAGAAAGGTCCCAAGGCAATAGGAAATTAGAAAACGATCTTAATAATCTAACCCAACAAATACAAGTAATGACCGAAAAATTAACCGCTGCCCTTACCTTGCCTAAGGAAACTGCCCTACTGAGATCACACTCAACGCATAATAATAATAATAATCACTAGGAACCAGAAACCGGTATAAGTCTGGAGCATTCAATTAATAGCCCTAAACTCTGAAAAATCTGGTTATGTATTTCACAGATCAAAATTTTCAGAGACGTTACAAACGGAAAATGCCGAAACTACATTTTTGATATTATTATTATAGATGCATCAAAATCGTAATTTCAGTCATCAAAGCACATAAACATATAAGTCCTCCGCTCTGCTCCGGACAATAATCATAATTATGGTAATTATGATTCATCCCGGCTGGTCTGTTATAAATGTGGTGAGCCTGGTCACATTGCTCCCTATTGTATATTGAAGAGAACCTAAAATCAAAACCAAAATTGGCTCTTACCCCCCAAAATAATCCAACCAACCAGCCCACCCGTATCCTACCCAGACCTGGCAATGTTAATTTTTGCGGAATTAAAATAGATAAAGGATACGAGCCTGAAGTCAAGGAAGAAGAAGCCTTTGTGACCCCTGTGGCCCATCATCAATCATACTCCACCCAAAAGCCCAAAGAACGATGCTCTAAAAGATTAGAGGATCAAGCAGCGGAAAGATATCGGTTCATCCTCTCTAGACCAGAAGCCCCCATTGTGTTTCCAGTAAACGTGATCCCTTTGCAACCAGTACCACAAGCCCCGGTAGCACCTCCGGTCAATGTGATCCCTTCCCAACCAATACCAGAAGCCCCAGTAGCCCTCTTGCAAGACCTTGATGAAAGAGAGGCTTCTCAGTAATCAATCAATTGGAATCGTATAATGTGGCTAGAGACATTATGGAATCAAAAGCCAATGTAACCCTGGGACAAATGTTGAAGTACCCAGATCAAAGGCAGAAGCTAGCAAATGCTTTGAGAAGACTGTTGCCCCCGCTGGAATTGGTAAACCCACCTCCTGTGACCATGCAAGCAAGCACCGTCCAGAATCAGTCGAATGGAAGAACAACGGCTGAACGTTGTTACGTAAGGATAAAGAATGATCCTGTGATCCTGTTCTGGACTCCAGTGCATCTGTGAGCATCTTGTCCAATGAAATGATAAAAAAACTACAATTGAAAATCACCGAACCTTCCACCACTATGGTAGTAACGGTGAATGGAACCCGAGTAAGAATGTTAGGAAGAATCATTGATATAAAGCTAGTATTAGGCGGCCTTGTAATCCTGACTAACTTTCAGGTCATTGAATCCACCAATGAGACTCTTCTTCTTGGAATGGATTAGTTCAAGCAGACCCGTGCCTGTTTGCATGTGGATGAAAGTAGAGTGTATGTGCAATATCAAGGCCAGGTTGCAGAAATCCCAATATCGTATAATGGAGACTATCACCCCATTGAAGTTGAAGAGAATGAAGATGATGGGATGTTTGACGAATTCGAAAATGAAGACGAAGTATTGGATGAGGCCGAAGGTTTCTACAGTGAAATATCAGATAGCGACCTCTTTGATAACTCTTGGAAAAATCATAGTCCCGCTGTATATTTGTTGTACATGGAGGAATTACCATCAAACGAGCCCGATCTTGAGGAAGAGTCTCTGGAGCAAAAATTGGAAAAGAGTGTAGATGAAACCCGCCTAACCTTGAAGCAAAAATGGGAAAAAGAAAATTTTCTAAATAATGAGAAAACGATCTTTGCACATAACGCCAACGACTTGGGCCAAACCAACCTGAATGTATATTAAATCGACACAGGAAGTGCAACTCCGATTAAGCAAACTCCCTATAGGGCCGCCCCCAGCGTACGTGAATTCATAAGGAAGGAAGTTGAAAGGTTGAAGAAAAAGGGCCTTATTGAAGAATCCAAAACCCTGGGCCTCCTGATCGTTGTGGTTCTAAAAAAGGGTGGAAAGCTGCATATGTGCGTTAACTATCAGAAGTTGAACGCTGTAACGAAGAAGGATGCTTTTCACCTCCTCAGAATTGACGAATTACTGGAAGTATTCGGCTGCGCCTCCTGGTTCTCTACCTTGGATTTAATATTGGGTTACTGGCAGGTAAAAATAAAGGAACAAGATCGAAAGAAAACTGTGTTTGTAACCAACTCGTGTACCTATGAGTTCCTGGTGATGCTTTTTGGCCTTTGCAACGCTCCCGCCACCTTCCAGCATTTAATGAATTGGTGCTGGTGGAGTGTATCGATAAGTTTGTCATCGTGTACCTTGACAACATTATTATTTATTCCCCCTCTTTCAATGATCACATAAAGCAATTAACGATCGTTTTTAATAAGTTGCATGATGTTGGGCTTAAGTTGAATGTGGATAAGTGCTCGTTCTTTAAGCCTCACTTTAGTTTTTGGGGTATATAGTTGGTCGTGATGATGTTCGTACCGACAAAGGTAAATTGGATAAAATAAAGCATTTTCCCGCTTCAGTAAATCTGTGCCAGCTCTGTGGATTCATAGGATTAGCATCCTACTATCAGAAGTTTATTCCAAAATTCGCTTTGATTGCTCGCTCCCTCCACACCTACTAAAAAAGGACATTAAATATGAATAGAAAAACGAACAAGAAACCGCTTTTAATAAATTAACGTAATATTTTATTAATGCACCTGTCCTGTGGTACCTGAACTTTGATAAAACCTTCATAATTCACGCTGATGCGTCTGGATCAGGCCTGATGCGATTTTGGCACAGAAGGATGATCTTGGGAAAGAGTACGTTGTTGCGTATACAAGTAGGAACCTTACAAAGTCTGAGCTAAACTATACAACCACCGAATTGGAGTGCCTTGCAGTTCTTTGGGCAATTGAACATTTCTACCACTACTTTGGTCTTGATCCGTTTGTTGTTGTTACTGATTACGCAGCCTTGAAATGGCTTTAAACTGCTGAATTAACTGGTCATTGTGCTCGCTGGGTATTACAGATGCAACCTTATAATTTCAAAATACAGCATTGCCGTGGTCATGTGGACCATAACGCGGATGCCTTGTTGAGACTCCCTGTAACCCCGATCAAAACCTGTGTTCAAACCTGTGAAAAACAAAAAGAAAAGAAAACCTGAAAGATTAGTACCCAACCGAAAACCAGCCAATAAATTAATTAAAAAAAAAAAAAAAAAAAAAAAAAAACAGAAAAGATCAAACCACCCTAAATCTGGCTTTTGAAAAAGAATCCAGACCAGGTTGCCGATGTCCTGGCACATGCGACATTCATTTCACTAACCTACCCGAGGCAAGCTAAAAAAAAAAAAAAAAAAACAGTTTAATAATAAAAAAAAAAAAAGAGAAGAGAAAAAGGAGCAAGAAGCAAAGAAAGAAAAAACAATAATAACTATATATACATATAGAGAACAGAGTATAAAAATAATAACAATAAAAAAAAAAAAAAATAATAATAATAAAACAATTTAATTAAAAAAAAAAAAAAAAAAAAAAAAAAAAAAAAAAAAAAAAAAAAAAAAAAAAAAAAAAATTTTTTTTATATATATAGAAAAAAAAAAACCAAAAAAAAAAAAAAAAAACCCACTACAACAAAAAAAAA